GAACAAAAAAGCCACTGACCTCTTCTTCGTGTCCACAGATGCCACACTTGACATGCGTCGCATTATTTGCCTTCCTGTCATCAGTATCACACGCCCCCGATGTATTGTGACAGCGGTGACACGGGTAGAAGATTCCACAGCAAGGAAACTTCACGAGGCAACGCCGCTGATAATGCTCGCACTGCCATCGCGGGCTCTCTTGAACAGGTGCCCGTTCTCCTCCAAACCACCTTGTATCCCTGCCTTCATTTTCTATCTGTTCGCTCCTGTCTCTTTGTTCTCTTTCCCTTATTTCTCTCTCTTGTCTTTCTCTCATTTTTCTCTCTTCCCTTTCTTTTTCTTCTCTTTCTTTCCTTTCTCTCTCTTCTCTTTCTCTCCATTCTCTTTCTCTCATTTCTCTTGCCTCTCTTTCTCTTTGTTCTCTCATCTCTCTTTTCTTTCGCGCTGCTTCACGCTGCGCTTTTGTTCTTTCTTCGCGTTCTTTCATAACCCTTTCAACTACTGCACATGCCTCCACCACCTTGCGTTCTAGTGCGGCAAGTGAGGGGTCATCCGGGAACTCAGGTGATAATGCCAAAGCACCATTTCCCTGATCCTCTCTCCTTAAGGGAGATATTTCAGATGAAGTCACAGGATGAATATGTTCTCGGTTTTCTGTAAACGAATTGGGTGTGTAAGGCTCCAGGAAACGTTCTTGCCCGTTTTCAGGCAACACACTGGATTGATAGCTGTATGAAGGTACACTCCAAGATGTTACACTCGCACTAGGCTGCAACTCCGTGACTGTTGCAGTGGCCTTGGGCGTATGCGATTTTACTGTAGGTAACCTTGATGCAGGTGGCTCATCATTCCAGCTACTTTGTCTCCCAGTTTGATAACTGACGACGGAAGGGTGCAGTAAACTTGACAGAGGCCATCGATGTCTCAAATCATTTGTTTCAGTCATTGGAGGAGGTGTTAGACTCCATACGGGCCAATCCGTGGGTGGAGTCAATTCTCTCGTTTGTTTAAAATCACTAGGCTGTGAGGCATGTTGTAGACTTTGATCTGTCGTATGTCGCGCAAGGAAATTTTGATTAATACCTGTCGCATCTAGGGATGGTATTCTGCTGTTGTAAAAGTAATTTAATTCCGCCCCATTTACTCGAGGTAACCTCAGTGACGAAGTCTTTGATCCTAGGCTTGTTGGATAATTCGTCGTAGGTACCTTTGCAGTGTGCTCATTACTCGTAAGCAACGTTTTCACTCTAGCCCCCGGCGGCTTTTTGTTACCATTGTTGTCCCCCGCTGTAGTTCCGATTGTCCGAGATTTGACTTGGTCATCCAAGCCAGCGTTAACTGGTAAGCTAAGTTTGGTGTCCTTGGTAGCTGATTTAAAATCTTTGAAACTGTTCCCTGGTACAAGGCTTTCAACAGGTAACGAGCTTGATTTGGCCACAACGACTTCGGATTCAGCATCATCATTTTTATTTTCATAATCAAAGTTGCTATTTCCAATAAACTCCCAGCGGTTACCACGGTCTTTATCATTATACCTGTCACCACTGCGAACAGTATTACCCTCACCACCCCCACCATCACTATGTTCGTGTCTAGCATGGTGGAGGTGGTGAGGGTTGTGATATCCACTGCAGCCATTATCACCATCTTCATCACTATCACCGTCATTTTCAACAGTAGAAGCAGCATTGGCTCCATCATTATCATCATCATGGTCAGCATTAGTATTGCCTACGTTAGCGTCATCATTGCCATCAACATCGTGCCCGTGCCTATCGCCTAGTTCATTAGCACCACCAGTTTGACATTCAGCATCCTTACTGCTGTCGTAATTCAAGACATAGTACCGATCGTTGTTTTCACTTCCGTTACTTTCGCCGACAGCATTATCACTGTTACCGTTGTCTTCATCAAACGAAAAATCTGCAGGTGCAACACTATTTACAAGAACTCTGCTTGTGTCACTAGAATTTTTATCTTTTTCTACTCCGTCATTATCTTCATGACCATTCTCATAGCAACCATCCCCTGTTAGACTAAAATGATTTGTATGCCCATTAACAAGAGGCGGAGATGAAGCTTTGTTACTGTAAGATTTGCTGCGGTTATTTTGTTGTCGTAGGTGGAGATTTCTTCCGCATAATTTCGTGGACCTCTGTAGATAGTATTGTTCCGATGTGTCATGTTCATTACACATTTTGTCTTCTCTGGTTGAATTAACGGCAGCCTCTGCAAGGAAGAGAAACTAGAGAGGTTTAGCAGGCAATAACGGCAAGAAAAGCAGCAAATAATTGAGCCAGCGAATGCCTTAAAACGCAGGGCTATCACTAAGGGGTTTCATCAGTCCGGACACTGCGTATGACCCCCGGCTACTTTCATAGGCAACAAAAGGAAATGAGGACCAAGGGAACTTGTTGTTCAAATCCCCACCTAATGATTGCATATATCCGACAACTTGAAGTCTTAGCGAAAGCGTTGACTTAAACCAAACAGCATATCATTATATATTTCGCCACCCTTGGGGAGCAATGGTGGTGCAGTGGTGAGAGCAATCGCCTCCCACTAATGTGGCCCCGGTTCAAATCCCGGCGTCGACGCCATATGTGGGTTGAGTTTGTTGTTGGTTCTCTCCTTTGTTACGAGAGGTTTTTCTCCGTGTACTCCGGTTTTCCCCTCTCCTCAAAAACCAACATCTCCAAATATTAATTCGAGCGGGAATGAGGTAGACGAAGAACCACTATGTAAATGTGCTACCTCTAAATCATTATTTATTTATTAGTCCAGCTTGCTTTAGCAGGGCGAGACTCTAAAAATTTTTTTTTTGGTCGGTGGGACCTAGTTTGTAGGCCACGCGTTCCTAGCGAAGACCATGAAAACTGGGGATAAGAACCGTGACGACTTTCACTGTATGTAGTTAAAAGAGTCTCGTGATGAGCATGCGGTATATTTTGGGCGATTACTGAAATGACGCATAAAGGTTTGGCAATGATGTCATTTTCCTCGAATGGAGGCCCTTGATTTTCGTGTAATTATGCACGACATGAAGGCATATTAAAAAGAAAAAAATCCCCAAATAGGATGAGAAAATATTATAGCCGGAAAATCCTATTTTGTGGTGTTTTAAGGCGTTACGTTTCTCAGAATATTGTCGCAGTTACTGCAAATCTACGGTTAAATAGATTCACTTTGTTTTATGTATTTAATTGATAGATTTTCGCAGTTAAGATGCGAAGTCGTGTTGCACTTTATAAATACTTGAGACATCAAGTATCCACTGTCGCGTAATTTTTACGTGCGTACGTGCGTAAAATTTACGTTCGCAAATAAAATAGAGGCAATGTATGAAAGGTCGCAGGTACAATTATGTAAGCGTAAAAGTAGAAACTCGCTCAACTTGACGTTTAATCTCAACCATTATATCTTGCCTCTATATTATTTACGTGATTAAAATTTATGTGCGTTAACATGCGGAGCCAAAAACGCGTCAGTGGAAATCCACCCTAACGTTACGTATGTGTCACGGAGGTGTTATATACGGGTAGCTTTGAACTTGACTATCCGCGCACTCTACTTGCAGCACTTCATCTCCATAGAATAAAAATCCCACATCGAGCTTTTCCGGAACGGTTTGGTCCAAGAATTCTATCGCTTGAAAGTGTTGATTATTTTGGAACAACTGATCACTTCAATGATCGAAAAAAAAAAAGAATAATCTCAATGAGAAAAAAATTAAGGGTTTACTGGAAAATAAGGATCGAGGATCGCTTAAAAAGAACTTGAAAATAAAATGAATAAATAAACCGTGGATCAGTGGTGATGTGGGCCGCAGGCTGTAGATAAATTTCACAGAACATATCCCCGTTCGCTGTAAGCACAGTTATCTCTCAAAAATGCGTGGTTACTGAACACCAAATTCAAGTAAACTAATCCGAGTCTGTCTGAGTCAGTGATTGTTTTGACGAGAAATTGAAATTTTCCTGGAAAATGAAACGCTTTATCCCATTGATACTGTGATAAAATGCATGCTGTGTACAACTCTAAACATTGTACTCTGAGACTGTAAGGAGATATTAAAAGTAGATACTAAGCAGCTATGGAAAATGTAATTACATTCACGCGATATTGATATCTTATAAAACGGACAACAAATTCAGCAGGAGTACGCGCGAACTGAATTAACTGTGTGTTGTATAAGGTTCTGTTAAACTTACACATTTTTCCTCTGCTGAACATATACTGTATCGAGCCGTATCTTGGTCCACTATTGCCTAGTCCCTGTACGGCGTCTTTCCAGACCCTCTCGGTCAATGCATTTCGGTGACGTATCCGAGACGAACAGCCGGGAGATGCCTAGACAATCTCGGAGTGCGCATGCTTGAGCATTTTTTGCATTTTTGAAAAGTTCACACGGTCAAATCTATAAATAACTTTGCGCGTGAATATCCTTCGCTTCAAGATCGGCACTATTGACACTATTGCAAAAACAACGAACCTGGTTTCTGTTATTAAAGAACAAAAATATTACTTTGAATCGGAAAGAATACTACTGTATAACGTGCAAGTAATTTCTCTTTTAGTTCATTTTCAAATGAACCCTTAAAATGATATTTCTTTATTGATAACAAGACTCAAAAAGTAGTTTGTTGACATTCTACCAAATTTAGAGACCAAATTCAACCGCCTGTCCGATTGGTTTGATAAGCTTCCAAATCCAAAAATTAAATAACATAAAATATCAACGAAGTGAAATGATGACGAGAAATTTATAGGAGCAAGCGAAAATAGAGAAACGAAAGATAGCTTTTCATATCCAAGAATAAATATAAACTTTTTTCTTTAGCTTACCTTCCGATTCTTGATCAAATAATTTTTTTGCGACGCTGTTTTGCTTAGCCTACAAATAGTTTTTGAGATGAGATAAAGTTCAAATTAGTTCAATGAGATAAATGAGTACGAAAGGGAAAAGGACTTTCAACAATGAAAACGAGCATAGAATAAAAATGCTCGGTTTATCCTCTGTACTCTCCATGGCTGCTGGACATCTTTCATCATCGCGGAAAAGTTACTGACAGCTCGCCCGCTTCCAAAAGCTCCGCCCCAAGTGAGACAAAATGTCTCACTTCTCCGAGTTTGTCTAGGCCTCAAAAACTTGCTCGGACCACGTGACCCGAAACGCATCGGCCGCGCATAATAATGAGGCCTAGGGAATAGGCAAGGTCCACTACAAAGAAGCTATGTTTGTACTGACAGAGTCATGGGCTCCTGATACCGATAAAAATCATCGTTCAATTTTTTGAGTGTAAAATCCCTGAAAGAGTTCTCCTCGTGGAGCAATATCAATATGTAGAAGGTTTTCAAAGGTTTCACACTGGTTTGAAGCTAAGATGTGCGGCCTGTCTCTCCTTGCAATTTTTACGTTTTGAGCGTTTACATTATGACAAATAACACTCGTTTTGTATTCCAAACGCAAAAGTAGTATAACAGCACCCGGCGCCTTTGACAACAAAAGTTATCTCCAAGCAAGAGAGACTCAACGCTACTAAGAGCGTTCTTGTTTATTTATGTTTCACATGCAATCCTATTAAACAGCTTAAGATAAATATCAAACTTCAGTTTGAGCTTCAAGCGGCTTGAGTTCACTATAGTATAGGCAACTATTTAACTGGCTACCAGAACAACTCTTTTTTTTTACATACATCCATTCAATAAATTTGAAGCAGAAAGTTGTGAAGAAGCCAAAAAGGCCCACAAAGTACATGCGTGTGCATAAAAAGTTTTCAACCTGGCAGGTATGTACAAGTTACAACAAAGTAGGTTCTGAAGTCCGCTTCCCAGTAAATGTATCGTAGACTGATAAACGACTCTGTCAGAGTCCATAACAACTGTAAGCTTTTCCTGCCTTGGGAGCGATGAGGGTCTATAACCACAAAGCGTAATATAGATACTCCTTGGTAAACATTCTGTTTTCATAATTTTATGCCTTCAAGTGGTAAATATTGTGCAGGCGTTAGTTTTATGTTTGTGGTTTATAGGGAAGAGAAACTACGTTTATAGAATATGGAAAAAAAATTCCATACCATAAGTTCCGTTATTTCTCCGTTGCTTAAGCACAGATGTACGCTGGAAATTTGCGATTTGTAAAGTTCTTTGCGCCTGGTCTCTCTCAAACAGAACTTGGCCATATTCAGCTTTCAGTACATGGTAGTTTTCGGAAACAGCTCTATCATTGCAATAAACACCATTACTGATCGGTCGTTCTTCGCAACAAGTTTGTTGACCAAAAGGTGCTCTTTTGGCAAGAAATTCGGCCCCCTGGTGGGATGCTTGCTCCGTTGTCCTTGGAGAATACTGAGCTCGTCCTTTCAGCTCAATGGTACTTCTCTTTTGATTATAGTCTCAGCGATGAGTGACTACAAAAAATGAACAAAAGAATTCTATGTATAAAAAAGTATAGCATAGAACGATTATGAAATTAAAAGCAAAGCAGGTTGCTGTTTTTTGAAAGAGCAAAACCAATCTCCGCCATTACAACGCTTCGATAATATAAATAACCAAATATTCCTCTGGGTGAAAAAGCATGGATTGGGAAGTGGAATATAGCGCCAACGAAAATTTGCTGAACCTTTTTCTTATGAATGTTGAGATCTGAAGTCCTATATAATATCTCGATACAAACATTAAAACAACCAATCATCATCATCATCATTATCATTATCATCATCAGCAGTCCTTTCCGCGCCATGTGTCACATAGCGCACATTATCGTCAACATCATCATCATCATCATCATCATCATCATCATCATCACCATCATTATCATCATCGTCACCACCACCATCATCGCTCTCATCACCATCATCCTTCTTACTTAGGAAAAACCAAAAAGCATTGGTTTACAACCTTTGGGCTGGAGCTGACTTGTACCTTTTGTTCTTCAACTCTCGTTTCTTAGGATTTTTGACGTATACACAGTATACACACTCCTTATAACAGTTCCATCTTATTTACGCACGAATCGTTATTGCTCGGACTGGTAACCTCAGTTGAGATCTGCATGTAACGCTTTCGCCGTCTCACAGACATGCATTAAATTGATAACGATCACTGCCATGGACATGTAAAGCAAAACTTTGTCTGCAAAACTTTTTAGTGAAGGTAGTTCATCTGTCTGCAGTTGGTAAAATTAAAATTAGAGCC